GGGGGGGTACCTGGAGGCATTTGGGTTTTTCCTTTCATTTTTAGTTTCTGCCTTTTTTAAATATTTTTTATTCCAATAAACTGAATTCACACATCTAATTCGGGTGATTGACACGCACTATTGCCACATCACACACGGTATTGCCACACAAGCATGGTCAACAGTCATAGGTATTTAATAATACTTATTCTCTCAACTTTGAGTATTTAAATGAGAAAGTTGTAAGTTTGTTTACCGGAATGATAATTGGGTACAAGTTTAAGTGGTCAGGAGAACTTTTTGCCAAGAATAAAATTATGATTTACATTTCNTTTATATTTGGTAGCCGAAAAAGTATATAAAATTTGTATAATTTTTGTATACAACATACAAAATATATATATATTTCTGGCTATTATTTTGAGAGCGGCTATGCAATATCATTTTTTTTATGCCCTACTTGTGGGATTATACTGAATTTGTTATTATTGTTGTTGAAATTTGTTTGTATCTTTAAACACGTATCCAACAAGTAAAAAAAATAAAATACAAATAAAGACGAATCCAAGAATTGAAGGTTCCAAGTGGCACCACATAGATAGTTACATAGACAGGTTGCTATTACATTGTATAAAGAGGATATACTGCAAATCTCAACCAAATAAGTTGGCAAATCAAGCAAGCAAATAAAGAAATGAAAACGAAGAGCTTCTTTTTCATATGAAATCAACCTGATTGCTTGACACATAAGAATATGGTCCAGCTGACTTTATTCGGAAAAATGATATTGTATAACCGTTTTCAAAATAATAATTATAAAACTGTATATTTTTGTATATCTAAGAAAACTTATAAATGTGTTATTTTCTCTCAGGGTGGATAATTTGAAACTTGCTAAAATCTTAATCAGGACTTAAGCATTCCTAACAAAAGTAATATGGAATTAGCGTTTAGTTTTAATTGCTCCGTTCCTTGTTAGGTCTATCGATTTGGGATAGTGTATGGATTTGTAAATATTCGAACCTCTTACGTAGCAAGTCTTCCTTTATAGTCTAGGTTGTTAGGATACTCGGTTCTTACCTGAGAGACCCGCGTTCAAGTCCCGGCATCGGAATCACTTTTTCTCATTTTAAGTAATAAAGGTATCATCCAGCTCGTGGGTTATAAGTAAATACAAGGAAGAACAAGAACAAGCAATTAATACGTATACTTTATCATCTTGAAAATAATACAAACATAAGTAAGATCTCATATAATAACTAGAAACTCTAATTAAATTGCTTTCAACTCACAAACCATGCAATCCTAAATTTTTAAATTTAAATAGTTTCTGTAACTTTCTCTTATAATCTTACATGTATATTTTAACTTGTTTACCGTGAAAATGGTAATAATAATTAAATTTGTTGATGGAACTCTAAAAATACGTGATTTATTTTTATGCTAGTTGTTAGAGCAGTTGATGCTAGATATGTGAAACTTAACGGCGAAATACGAACTAAAATAAAGTTATGATCAAACTGAGGGGCTTACTGTCCGGGCCTCGGACTGACCGATGAGAAGCCTCGAGGTCGATGCCTGGGCTCGGTCTCGAGCTATCGGTAGGGGTGTTAATGGTTCGATTCGGCCGGTTATTTTATAAATTTGTACCATATCAATTTTTCGGTTATTCTATTATGTATAACCAAAATTAGACTTTTCGAAACCGTCCCAATCACGTCGGTTTCTCTTCGGTATCGGTACGGTTCGGTAAATATTCGGTAATTTTTTAAAATGTCATGTAAAAATCACTAGTAAAAGTAGAATGCAATAATATACGTACTTTTATAGGACTTAGCAAAACTCTCTAGATATTTTTACAGTTTAGTAAAGGCGATGAATTAGAAAATATAAAAGATGGCTATAGTATAGATCCATCAACTATTCTACATCAACGTAAAAGAAACTAAGCAAATACAAAGAAAATATAAATCATACGAGTGGAAAGATATTAATTGAGCTAGGATTCAAGAATAAAGTCTATAGAAGATTAAATATTCAAAAAGATAAATCTAAATTATACGAAAGGAAACATATTGAATACATTATAATTTATTACTCATAATCTCTATAATACCTTGTGTCTTGATAGTGAATATGCTGGAAATAATTTAATTTCAATAGGAGCAGCATAATAGGTTTGGGAATTAGAATTTTGAGTTTAATTACTTGTTGGCTTCTAACTATTTCATAATGAAAAGGCCCCAGAAAAAGTTTAATGCTTTATTACTTTTAAACTTAATATATAAATATATTTTTCACATTGTAAATTTATTCGGTACGGTTCGGTATTTTTTCGGTTTATTTTCATAAAATAAAAAACCTACCCTAATTATCGGTACGGTTATAGATTTATATAAAAACCCACGGTTTTATTAAAAGAAATCTAAAAATCGGTTCGGTACGGTACGGTTCGGCCGGTTTAGTCGATTTTCAAATATCCATTGACACCCCTAGCTATCAGGGATAATCGAGAAAGAGCTAACAGTTAGGATATAATTAAAGGAGGCTCTTTATGGCCAATATCAAGCAATAAATAAAGAACAAGTATGGAAGCAATAAATGAAAGAGGTAGTCTCGAGCGAGTAGGTTAGAGAGGAAAAAGAGAGAGAGAGAGAGAGTTGTTATTGATCTTGTGTAGAATAGTTGGCGCAACCTGCTTACAGAATGCAATGATTCCCCTTTTATAAGAGGGGGAATCCAAACTTAGTACAAGATACATTAAATGATAAAGGAAGCGGGATGGGACAACTAACTAGCTTCATGATGTAGGTGTAGGCCAGCGTTAGACTGCCCTGGTAGGCTTAACCGGTCCCGGATGCATTCTTCGGAAGCCTCTCATGCTCGTCGGGGTCTCGGCCAACATTATCCCCAAGCCGGGTGTCGACAGTTCTTGAGGGAAGTACCCGGCCCGAGGTCTCGAGCCTCCGAGGCGATCTCCTGCAGCACTTTATCAACGAGAAATTGGTTCACCCGATTTCGCCGTACACAGATAGTCCCCATATTTCTTAGAGAGAAACGATAAGAAACGATTGACATCCCACTTTATGGCTCCCATAATGACGTCGCGCTGATGATGCAAGCCTCTATGAATACCAAAATGTTTCATCATTTTGCTTTTTCAGGGCTATTTGACGCGTCGTGATTTCTCATTCTTCGGGGTCATAACGTCGCCGTTGATTCAGCTCCCATGCACGCCTTGAATGCGCCTGTCATTATGTTTTTCGAGGGCGATAATGGCGTCGTTGGTTACTTTGCCCTTCTCTTCTATAAATGAGGCCTTTTGTGACCATTTTTTCATCCAAGCATCCTCCGATATATATCATTTCCTCCTTTCTTGCTATTTTTATTCTTTGCTGTTTTACCATGTTTGAGGCCCAAGGCCTCAAGATTTTATGGCGACATCAAGCGTGCTGCGACCTATCTCCCG